AATATATTTTTATTGCTACTTGTAATTTGAGTTTCTAAACTTTTGATCTTTTATAAGGATGAGATATTTTAATAAAAATACTATCTCTTCTATATATTGATTATCTAAATTTAATTACTTTTAAATGTATATCTAAATTAAATATTTATTCTAATGTATAATTCTAATTTTACAAAAAAATAATCATAAAATAAAAAATGTTATTACATTATAATATGAATGATTATTCTAATATCTGAATTAACTATTTTTATTTTATTAAAAAATAATCATTAAATAAAAAATATTGATTATATTATAATATGAATTATCATTACAATTTTCAAACGTTCTTATGAAGTCAAATTAAATTATTGATTTGAAATTTTAAATTAAATCATAATTAATCAGATCAGACCAGATCAGATCAGATCCAATCAGATCAGATCAGATCAGATCCAATCAGATCAGATCAGATCCAATCAGATCAGATCAGATCAGATCAGAACTTATTAGAATCAGATCAGATCAGAAAAAATAAGTTGAACGGAACGGAGCCTTAGTATGAGTAAAAGTAACTTTTTAACAAAAAACAAAAAGGTTTTTTGGAATGGATGAAAAAAAGTTTTGTGGGAGGAGTACTATTAATAGTATTAATATGTCGTATTTCGTACTAAAGTACTCACTACTACCTACCACCTGTTGGGAGACTCTCAGCCTTAATTTGTAATCAGGATTAGTCGGATTTTGTCAAGTGAAATTTGCCCTGAATAGGACTAAAACATAAGTCATTTCTCAATGTAGGACTTAAACTTTTTTATTCCCTAAATAGGACTTAATAATGATTAGTGAGAAGAATAATGTCCAGATGATGGACATTTAGTTGAATAATGACTAATAGATAATGACCAATGGTCCTACATTGAAAAATAAAAACGTATGGTCCTATATTGAGAAAGTCATTATGTTTTAGTCTTATTTAGGGAAATTACCCTTTTGTCAAAGGCGAGTCTGGAACACCTGTAGTCTAACAAAAAAAAGTACCCATCACTACTCCCTTTGTCCCATTAATTTCATTTTTTACAATTACTAATTTTCATGCAGTCAAATTATTTTCTCCTCTATATATACTAACTCAGTCATGGAATATTTGTTTATTTTTGATCTTTTGAGACCAAATTGATAAACTTTAACTTATAATTACGGAGTAAATAAGATTTGTATTATACATATTAATACAACGAATTAGTTTATTATATTTGGCTTGTGAAATATTTTCAAAATATAGTATTGCTATATCGACTATCATTTTGACTAAATGAATCTTATTTATGTTAAATTGACAAGTTTACCTTAAAAATACAAAAGAGGAAACTTAGATGTAAATAAACCAATTAACATTTAAAGGCAAATTAAAGCTGTCCATTTTACACAAAATAAGTGAATTGATCCAAAATGAAGGTGGATATAGCAACACCCTTCAAAAAAATGTTTTATCTAATCAGTATATACGATATAACTTTTATTTAATTATACTACATCCGTCCCAAAATATTTGTCACACTTGCTTTTTAGCAGTCGCGGGAACTTTTGTTTATTTCTACGTTGCTATTGGTTATTTGATAAAATAAAATATTCTTGACACCTCTTATATATTTCGAAGAACTTTTTATGTAGTTTTTTGATATGTAAATTTTTTTTATTTCTATATATACCAATATGTAGATAAAATGAATTGAAAAAACGTGATATTTTACCTCGGTAATAAAAGTGTGACAAATATTTAAGGACGGGGGAGTAAATCAAATGTTGATTTGGATAAATTCTATAAAGTCAAAACTAGACAAATAATATGAAAAGAAGAGAGTATATTTTATCTATCATTTAATTTGATAAAATAATATGGACGTGTCATCTCCTATTTCATCAATCTTTTGACGTAATTTTTAAATAATACTTTTACTTTTAAATTTTACAACAATATTAAAATGAAATGATTTTAAACTAACAGAAATCAAACATCGCGAACCATTCTGCCAAGAATCAAATGGGATATAGGGATCATAGTGCATACATAATTTCGAAAAACCTTATCTTACCGATTTGGTCGAATTTGAATCATTTGAATAATTCATTTTGAGTTTGGTCATCCTAAAATATCTATTCAAAACCCAATATGTTCTATATCCCATCATTTTTTGTCGGGTCTACTACTACACACACTAGCTAGATTAAAAGTGACAAAACTCTAAAAAAAGTGACAAAATAATGTACCAAGTATGAAAAGAAAAAGTACTCCCTATGTTTTTTTTCATTCCAAAATGAACAATAATCACGTCACACTTTTAATTAAAAATGTGCGAAATTAAAAGATGAAGAAAAGTGCAGTATTATGGAAAGGAAGGCAATGTTTTTAATAAAGAAAAGTTGACATAACCTAAGATTTTTGGTCCGAAGAGGAAACTCAGGAGTTTACAGGAGAGAGAGTCAAATGTGAGCCGTCGGATCCACATCAAAACGCAATCGTTTTGGCAACTGATGGCATATTACAAGCCTTGCAATGAGCTCTCCAACCATATTTATTATTAATTACTCCATTTAATTTCCCCCAGCCCTGCATATTTATTATTCATATGAATATTAATATTAATAAATAAATAAATAATAGGTAGTATAATTATGTTATACGGAGTATTGAATTGAAGAAGAAGAAGAAGAGAAGAAGATGAATAAGAATAAAACCCTCACCTCACCTCACTCCTCTCCTCCCTTTCATTTCCACTTGAGCCTCTCCTTCTTGCCACATTTTCCTTTTTAGCTTTTCCAAGATGCGCGGCGGCGGAAGCGGCGGCGGTGGCAGTGGCGGCATTTTCGGCCGCCACCACCTCCGATCAACTCCCAGGTTGTCACTAGACAGGTTTCTATGGGACCATCAACAACAACAAGAAAACAAAAGAGAAAATTTGCTATTTTCGGATCATAATCTGTACGATGTCTCGTCGTCCTCATCGTCCGCTGTGTCTTGGTTGGATTTCCAAGAATCCGCTCTTACCGAAAGTGGGGCCGTTTCCGATCTCGGCCAGAGATCGGGTGGCCTCGCGTTCGATAAGGGCTCTGGGAAGAAAGTTAAATGCCGATCTTCTCCTCCGCTGATCAAGGGTCAGTGGACTGACGAAGAAGACAGGTATGTGTGTCAGTAGTACTCTCTCTCTCTCTGTCCCAAAATGAACAGATCCAGACCTAAAAAAATGTGAGGCTACCGTACATTTTTTTGATGGATTAATTAATTTGTTTGATTGTTGTAATTTGTGGGGTTTAAGGAATTTGATCAGATTAGTGAAGCAATATGGAGTGAGAAAATGGGCTCAAGTGGCTGACAAAATGGTCGGTCGGGCAGGAAAACAATGTCGCGAGCGGTGGCAAAACCATCTTCGTCCCGATATTAAGGTTTAATAATTTTCTTTCTTCTTTCTTCTTTTCTTCTTATATTAACATCACATTTGAGATTTCAATTTTCTTAAAAAAAAACAAAATCTGATACATGGATCTATGTGTGAAGGGAGATCTACTTAATTAATTGGTTTTTTGGGCTGGGTTTTGATTAATTAATTGCTAAAAACACAATCCATCGCCGATTGAAAATCTGTGTGTTTGATTAGATTTTATGTTGGATTTGTTTACCATTTTTATTTCAATTTGCATTTTATGATTTATAAGATTCAATTGAAGTCCCATTTGTTCATATGAAACACCAGCCCAGTTTTTGCGTTCGTAGTTGGTGTCAATCAACAGTCAAACCGTTTCTTACATAATCATAAGATTTTCGTTTTGTCATTACTCTATTTAATAATCCAACTTTTAATTTAATTATAGGGATTAATAATAATAATAATAATATTAATAATAATAATAATAATATTATTATTATTATTATAATAATAATAATAATAATAATAATAATAATATTATTATTATTATTATTATTATTACTAGATTCTTTCTTTTGTCTCAAAATTAACTTCATATATGCATAAAATTTTGCATTTGACCGAACATAACTATTAACTGTTAACAAATATTTAAATCGAGTTGTCAATTAAAAACTATATATAGAGGTTACCCGATTTAGGTAAATAGTATAATCATTTCTTCAAATGAATGTTGGATCTTGATTGTGAGACAAATAAAGAAATGTGAATGTTTTTTTTTTTTGGGGGGGGGGGGGGGG